CAGGACACAGACAGGGAGATCTGGCCTTTGACTGTGTTATCTGAATCTATGCAGGATCTCCCCTGCCATTTAGCTGCAGAGGGTACCAGACGCCTTACTGAAGTCGAGGTTTACGGGGTCTCTGGATCCAGCAATCCTCACCAGATCAACAAGAGAGATGAGTTCACTCGGGGGTGATTGTCCTCAGAGGGCGAGCCAGCGCGTCCCTGTCCTAGCCTCTTCTAGGATCCTGGGTCAGATGGCCATCAGTGACTCCTGAGAGTCCTTCCTAAGGAGCAGGGAGTAGGCAGCAGTGCCAGATGTTGCAACAAGAGCTAGAAAAAAGACTTTATTTTGCAATTGGCTAACACTGAGTGACCCCTCAGGAAACACTGTCGGTGGAGATTTGGCAGGAAGAAGCCAGATCACCCTGGGTTTGAAGACTAAAAAAGAAGGGAAAGTATAGTGAAGTAGTTGCTCAAGAAGTTGAATTTCCTTTTTTTTTTTTTTTTAAAGCAAGTTGTGGCCTGACTTACACAGCATGAAACGTCTTAGATTTGACTTTCCTTGGAGCTCCGGACTTGCATCCCCAATTTCTTACCCAATGTCTGCTGAATGTCTAATGAGCATTTTGAATTTGTCATGGCCAGAATCGAATCCTGCCAGAACATTCCCCATCTTCCTAAGTGGCATCTCCACAGTTCAGTTGCTTAGTCCAAAGAACTTGGAACTGACTCCTGATCCCTGGTTCCCGGTAGCTAATCACTATGTCCTTGAACCTCGTGGCAGCCAGCTAACTGGAGGAAAGGTTGGTTGCAGCTTCCACTGGGAGTCTTTCTTAAAAGCCCAGCCTGGAGCTCACTCCTCCATTCTTCTCAAAGATTTTGTTGACTCCTAATCTCTCCTATTAAATCCCTTTCTTCTCTTTCTATTGAAAATAGCTATAATGATTTCTGGTGCCTACATGCAAATTCGGATACATACAGTATTGTTTGTGAATACATAAATATGTTTATAGAAGTAGCAAAGTGAAGACAAACCTACAGAACAGGATTTGATAAATCCCCCTTTTGAGAAGAAAACGGAAATTTAGAAATGGGGGCTCCCTTTTCAGGTAGGAATCGTCTTTTGTGAAGAGGAAGCTATGACGCTATCAAGACTCTTTAGTTCCTCCAGGAGCAGTTAACTGACGAATAGCTCTGTCCTGGATTATTCTGTAATTGTAAGTTATAAGACTTCCTGGCTGAATTGCTAAGACACAGATTGAAGGTCTCAATTGCATTTCACTGAGCTCAGCCTATCTCGTGGTCTTCCACTATGTGTAGTGCTCTCTGAGGTACACAGAGATAAGAACTCACTCAGTGGGCTACACACAGAATATCTTTTTAAAATGTAAATCTAATGCCCATGTCTGGTAATTTTAATATTTATGAAATATGTTTTAGTTGATAGCATGAAACATGGCTAAGTTGATATATGTTTTAGATGATATCTAAATATGACTGATATAGTAATGAAGGTACATAAGTTATATCTGTTGTTGTTCACCATATTTGTAAAGAACTTATAGTGTGAGCCGGCACTGTGGTATAGCTGGTAAAGCCACCTCCTGCAGCACCAGCATCCCATAAGGGCACCAATCTGAGTCCCAGTGGTCCACTTCCAATCCAGCCCCCTGCTAATACACCTGGGAAAGCAACAGAGGACGGCCCAAGTACTTGAGTCCCTGCACCCACATGGGAGACCCCAAAGAAACTCCTGGCTCCTGGCTTCTGATTGACCCAGCTCCAGCCATTGCTACCATTTGGGGAGTGAATTAGCTGATAGAAGACCTCTCTCTCCATAAATGGCTTTGAAATCAATAAACAAATCTTTATTTTTTTTGAGAACTTATAGTGGTCTCATTAAGTTTTGTTTTGGACTTCCTGCCACCCTACCTCTTTCCCTCCTCTTGCTATAGGCCTTGGTGTCCCAACTCTATTTTTAAAATGGTTCAATTTCTAGGGGTTGAGAGAGGAGTTGACACTGCTGTTCACTGCTGTAAGTGTTTGAGTCAAGTTCAAATTAAAGTTGTTTCCGGCAGTTTTCTACACTCATCCTCCATCTAAATCTTTGCCATTTTTTAGTACAACAAACAAGTTTCTTTAATTCATTCAGCAAGTGCATATACGGGCACTTCAAAATGGTCATGGGATTTATTTTAGTGCAAGAAATTTTTAAATCCATGCATGCAAGGGATCTTTAAAAAGTTCATGGAAAATTCATATTATGAAAAACTGCATAGATTTCTGGGACATTCTTTCAAAGGCATTCTTCTGCTGATATCATTGGTTCTTGGCTGTGTAGTTTCCAAACCTACCTCTCCCTGGGATTCTGTGAACAACTGATACACTGTAATAAGCCCCTTCCTGCCCAGATAGCCAAAAGGAATTCTGTAGTTGGAAATAAGAACCCTATCAGGCATTCCACTTCATGCGCTTTGGCAGAAAGACCTTGGCAGCCATTTTGACCATAGAATCTGAAAATGCCGTGAGCTCATTTTTCCCAGCCTGCTTCAAACCTCGAGTGAAAGCGTGTGAACTAGGCTCAGTTCACCATCTGCACCAGCCAGACTTGGAGTGGGAGCAGAGGAGAGACTTGGTCCGAGCTTCCAGGAGCAGAGGGCCATCCGTGGATCCATGGTCTCTGGCCGGCAGGCAGGGGTGGTGGCGCGGCTCTGAGACTCCCAGCCTTCAGCTGCAGCTGGGCTGGCCTCACAGGTCTCGTCCTGCAGGATCGCACAGGCAGTGGACTTTGCTTCTGCTTGTTTTCCAAGCCTGTGCCCAAAATAATAAAGCCCCCGTCATCCTCCCACAGTGTCCCTCTGGTGCTCTCTACTGAGCGTGTTTAACATTCTGCACACTCTGAAAGAGAAATGTTTACAGAAATATTTCAGGAAAAGGAAGGCAACAAATTGTTAACTGCCCGCATGGCTAAAATCCAAGTTCAAATTTTGATCTTGTTGCCCAATCATTGGATTGGTTTAATTCACAGCACTGACTGGGGAGAAATGAGACTCTAAGAAGTGGGCTAGTTCCCATGACAAATGTGCTGGCGCCTCCCTTGACAATGAAAGATTTTTCTCCTGTTTGATGAAAGCTCTCCTACCTAAGCTGCAAATTCTATAACAACATTAACTGAAAGAGGTACCATGCCCGCGGAAGCTTCCTTTGTGTGCCTCTCTACTACCCCTCCCTGCCTTCAGAAAAGAACTAAAGGCAGAAGAAGCACGCAGGTCTCAGCAAGCCAGTTAAGAAGGCAGAGAGCGTGGGAAGAGAGAAAGCATAGCCCGATCTGCAGGGTGTCGCCCTGTTAATCTGCTGAGTGTGCGTAGAAGGGGATTCTTTAGGTCCTAGAATTGTCTTTGTTCCTTCTCTGCTATTGTAATAGAATATCCCAGACTGAGAAATTGACTAAAAAAAAAAATTTATTTCTCATACTACTGGAGGGTGAGAAGTTCAAGATCAAGATGGCGACAACTGCTGAGGGCCTCTTTGCTGTGTTACATTGTGGCGGAAGGCATCATATAGCAAGAGGGGGAAAGCACACACACTCGTCTGTCTTCCTGTTCTCATAAAACCATGAACGCAGTCCTGGTGAGATGGGAAGGCAGGCAGTGGGCACAGGAGCTGGAGACCGGCAGCATCCAAGCCTTGTGCACTGCCCAGCTACCATCACCTCCATGCCAATTCAACATGACTAAAGACTGGGCACATCCACTCCACTCCTTGTGCAGCTACACCTCACTCTCCTTCGTTCACCAGAGACCTGGACAGCTCTCCGGAGCCCCACCCCTCCCTTGAACATCCCTTCAGGCCCTGCCCTGAGCACCACACAGAAGCTCAAAACCCCAGATTCCTGCTTTCTCAGCCTTCCTTGATCGGGCTCCTGGGTACATGGTCAATCAATTGCTTCTGTCCTGACCTTTGCATTGGGAGCTAGTGACACGCAGAAGCACCGACAGAGAATTAATTGTGGCAGCAGTGGCAGTGCAGCAGGAATGATTGGTTTCCAAGGACAGCAGTGACAGCAGCACTAGTGCCCGTGATAGGTTTTGCATCCAGTTCTGCAGCAATGGGGCCCGGGCTGCTGGCATGGGACCGATTTGGACAGCTAGATAGAGCAAGGCTCCCCATGTTCTCTCCTGTCCTCCCCGCAGGTCCCTGGCTTTCTACAGGCTGCTGTGAACTATCATTGCCTTTAGCCAAATTGCTTTCTGCTCACATTCGTCTGTAGGTTTTATGGCTTGCAAACTTGAATCCTGATGATATCATCTGTCTTACTCTTTCCCTCCCTCCCTCCCTCCCCCCTTCCTTCCTCCCTCCCCTCATCCCTCCCTCCCCTCATGCCTCCCTCCCCTCATCCCTCCCTTCCTCCCTCCCTCTCTCCCTTCCTTCCTTTTTCTTCCCATCTCTGGAAGAAGCATGCATGCATCCAACGTCACATACATATGCACACGTATAGGAGCACATATGTTAGAGGTATGTACATATGGTGAAGTATTAGCTATTATTGATAGTGGGAATGAGTGCTTTCTTTTTTGCTCTCAGAGATGATACTAGCAGTGACATACACATGAGTAAACCTAACGTGTGTGTGCGCATCACAGCTCCCTGTCCCAGCACTTTGCAATATTTATACCAATTCATTCACTCCTCACAATAAGTCTAGGAAACAAATAATTCACATCCTGCTGTTACAGTGAGGAAACTGAGGCACGAGAAGCTTCTAGAGACCTCTCCAAGACGACACAGCTGTTAAGAAACAGAGCCAGAAAGCAAACCCTGGCAGTTCATGTTTTGGACTGCTACTTTTAACAAAATAAGGGAGATAGGATGACAAGTAGCTTGATGGGGAGGCCAAGCGCAGCGGGTCTCAGGATGGCCCGGTGAGCTCATTTGGGGGCCGAGGGGAAAGTAGGACGGAGTGTGGGGCTGTCCACTAGGTGGCGCTGCTGTCAAGATCACAGGGGCTGAGAGTCATCCTGCATGGGAAGAGGAACAGGAGAAAAGGAGGCAAAGAATCAGTTTATAGGCTTGGAAGGGGACGACTTTGCTTCTCTGGAAGACAGAAGGCAAAGTCACCTGCAAGGGGGCTAAGAAGGGACAACCAAGCAACCAAACAAGGCAGCGGCTCAGGGGAGCCGGTGGTCTTGCAGCTGTGGTGCAGGGAGAAGGGGAGGAGAGAACGGTCAGCAGCCAGCCCGTGGCTCTGTCCTTGCTCCCAGTAACAGCTCTATCAACAGCCAGGTCCTGGATCCACGAGAGCCAACCCTGTGGGGGAGCGCAAGGGGTCCAGATAGTGACCCTGGAGCACAGGGTCCTTCAGAGCAGGGAGCGGGCATCACAGCCTGCATCACCAGACAGCAGGAAGGCAGATCTGCATCTGTCCCCACTGGACATAGGCTGGATAGTCACAGGCTCCTCCCCCCTCCCCGAGATAGAGAGAGAGAGCGAGCTTGTTAAGCTAGCTGCTAGCCTCCCTCCTGAGGTCGGGCTGGGGTTTTACCTGCAGAATCTTCCATGCCAGTCTCTCCGGGACACTCTCTTCCATAGCATCTGCATGACGCCTTCTCAGGAAAACTGACCTCCTTGCAGAACCTGTGCAGCCATCCACCGGAAGCCGATCTGACTCTCACAGTAAGGTCTCCCTCAGCTTAGCAGGGTGTCTCCTGACCCTTCAAGCTTCTGCGTCTATTTGCTCACACAATGAAGTGACCACACTCCATCCTGCACCTGCCAATTCATTTCTGGGGGCACTCTCATCGGCTGCCCGGAACCTCTAAGCCAGGCTTGTTCTCTGGGTCCTTGAATGGCCTGTCTTCTCCAGGGACCACAGGTAAGAAAGTGCCCCTAGGGCTCATGCTGGACATATTGTGCATGCGGGGAGGCTGTGGGTGTGGCCAAAAGGACGCCAGCAGCTTCCTGTGTCCTGAGCTCCTTATTACCGCATGCTTTAATAAGACTACCAGATACCAGTGGTATCTGACTTGGAAGGCAGCGGGGGCTTCATCGCTGGGTTTGCTGGGAGGATGGCTTTTGAGGAGCACACCCCCTCAGCTAGTGTGCGAGCAGGGCTCCTGACCTGTCACCCGGCACCCGGCCTTGAGAGGCAGGCTTCTGCGGCTGGGCAGGTCATTGAGCAGAGCAGATACAGGAGCTGGAAGTTTGCTCTCAGTCTCCTAAGCTCTTCCAAGGAGATTATTCGGACGAAGACACAGTGTCACGTCCTCTAGCAAGGGGCACTTTGCAGGATGCGGGACAGACAGTTGCGGAGGCACTGGGATTCCCGTGCTCGGGGGAGTTGTGGGCTCTGGAGGGCAGAGAGGGCCAGGGTGGTCCTTGTGCAGAGAGTATCGTGGCCTGGTGGGTGAGAACTTGTAAACGAGCTACAGTAGGAAGATGGACAGGGAAGAGAGGCCAAATTGTCCTGAGTTCAAAGGACCCAGGTGAATGAAGGGAGGCTGCAATGAGCATGCGGAAGAGGGGAGGGGTGGTCTAGACACTGGCACACATCAGCAGCGAAACAAGCCCCAGGGGCTCTTGGTGCCCAAGCACTTTGTACCATGCAATACTGCTGGCCTAGGCTTCTCCGTGCACCCATTTACGAAACCCACTTGACATCTGGCATTATCACCCACTGCCATGCCCTCCGCCACACCTGCCAATCCAGCCATGTCGAAGATCAGAGTCCAGAGCTCTTTGTCTTTTAAAACCTTTGTAATGGGACGTGGAAGGTTACTTCAGTTACTACCAATTGCCTGGAACAATTTTACCTTTGGCTTCCAGCGACAAATGAATGCAATTGCCATAGTGGCTAGCTACAAGGGATGCAGATTTGAGACATCTTGCAGGAATATGTGGATTGCAGCTCATGTGCGGATTTTCTCAGGGGTCTGGGACTTCTCTGCTAGATCTCTGGCATGCCTGATACACATGGGGAGAAATGTTTCTTTTATTTAATACATTCGGTTAGAGGCGAAGCAGATCACAGCCTGGGAATTTGCAGCTGGGATACTGGTTGGAAGAAGGAGCTAGGGGATCTGCACATGGAGGAATCTTCTAGAAACTTGGATTCAGCTGAGCCCAGCTTTGGGGTGTGCTGTCTGTCCCTGCTTATCACCCATCCCTCCACAAACCCCAGTTCTGGTGGCTGCCTAGCAGTGACAGTAGCAATACTAGGATTTGTAGGACACAGGCCAGTGAGGGCTGAGTGGCTCACACAAAGCCGCTCTCCTGGCTGGCGGCGTCCCCAGTCCTTTTCCACATTTTAGAAGCTGAAGCCGGAGAGTGAACCTCACTCAGCTTTACCACTTTAGAGTGAACCTCAGCTTTACCACTTTAGAGTGAACCTCAGCTTTACCACTTTAGAGTGAACCTCAGCTTTACCACTTTAAACTTCATGGCCTGGGGCAAATCAGCTTCCCTGATTGGTTCTTTAATTTACACAAAAAGGCATAATAATAGTTCTTCCCCACACCTTCCTAGGGATGAGGTGAGGCCCACAGGGCTGCAAGGCCCTGTACACCTGGAGAACACCCAAATGCAAGTTCTCAAGAGAACCTTACAGGTGTTAGCCTCAAAGGAGACCCTGGACTGCGCTCTCCCTGAGCTTAGCCAGCCCTGATTTCCAACATCTGACAACCAATGAGCAGTCAACCTCACACTCCCCTGAATGCATTTTCTGATGCAGCAAACTCCAGATGGTGCTGAAACGAGGCGATATTTAAGTCACTGACACGCACAGGTAAATTAGGCAGGCCACAGGTCCCCCAAGGGAGAGAGGATGAAAGAGAGAAAAGGTACCAGAAAGTCAGCTCTGTGGTTGTCTGATGGAGTGAGCGAAACAGAGCAGAGAAAAAACCTCACCTGCTTTGCAGTGTCTCCTGGGTTGTTAGTGTGGCAACCCCAGGGTCTCTAACTTCCATGTCTCAGAGGTCTAATAGGGTCCTCTGGCCCCCACCCCGGGAGGGCTGTGAGACAGCCCTTGGAAATGCTTTACTATCTCAACTAGCACCAGTTTATGGTGGGCACTGTGGAATGTAGAAAGATGTCAGAAGGAAGTAAGGATTGCCTCCAATCCCTGCACCCGGGGAAGGCACAGGTGACCTACAGGCACTTAGGGGAAAAAGACTGACAGAAGAGCAATGTGGCGATGACAGCTTTGTCTGGAAACGCTAGCCATGCTCTTTCCTGTGCCATGGGTCTGCCTGAGAGGAGCCCCACAGGCCAGGCCCTGCCCCCGTGAGGGACAGAGATCCCAGACCTCACCAGCACCACAAAAGCTGCTGGGGCCCAGCCCAGGGTGAGCACCACCCCAACCTCATGCGTAGTTTGCAGGGGGATGGTAGTTCTCATCCAAGGAGTCCCCCAAAAAGCCCGTGGGAGAGGCTGTCCCCCGGGGCGCCCCTTCCTGAGAGAGCTCTCCCCCACAGCTCAGAGCAGGCATCTTCCAGGAACCAGGGGGTCTGTTCTTCCTGCCTACATTTGTCCTGACCAGGAAGGAAGCAGGGACTTGTGAGAGAGTTAGGAAGAAGCGCATAAACTGGGGACAGGAGTGAGGTGCCGTGTGACACGGGGGTGAGTGTGCGCAGCTGCTGGCCAGGGTGGTATCTCCAGAGGGAACAGCAGACAAAAGGAACTCTCTGTTTCTAATGGGTCTTTGAATTAAAATCTCCAGGACACCACTCTGGAAAAGCCGGCTGTTACTGTCTGTCCCAGAAATTGCAACACGTGGTGGCTCATACCAGGCGGCTCCCACCCCACGCTCCCCCCAGTTGACACAAAGCATCACTGCTGGAGGCCATTGGGTCACACTGCCCTGCCAGCACCTGGCCCGGCCTCACTGTGGTCGGGAGCTTCCCTGAGAACAATCCTGTTTGCTCCCTGCACCTGTGCTGGGAGGTAGGCAGGGCAAGGAGTGTGCGAGACTTGTCTTAGATACAAGACAAAATCCCAGCAGGGCTGAGTGGCTTGGCTGGGGCTCCAGGTCAGTTTGCAATGTCCAGGCCAGTTCTCTTCTCAGGGTGGGGTGCTGGGGCAGGTCTGGGGAGAAACAGGGCTTCAGCGATGTCTGGAATCATAGACGGGGTGGACTGGGAGAATGAGAATGAACCAGCTCGGAGCAGCTTCCTGACTCCGTAACAGTCATTCTGATTCTCTCATGCACCTGGCAGTTTACTTCTAAAGCACTGCAAAATTGTGCTAAATATGCAAATAAAATTGTGCTAAATATGCAAATAACATAAAAGTTACCATTAGTGGTATTTAGTGCATTTGAAACATTGTCCAATCATCACAACTCTAGCTCCAGAACGTTCTCATCTTTCCAAAAGCAACTCCTAAGCCCATTATCTACACTGAGAGGCAGTGCTATGGGTACCCAAACAGACAACATCCCCATCCTTACTGGAAAATAAGAAGGGTTGTTGAAGGGAAAGACAGCTCATTTGAATGTATAAACTTTTTAAGGTCCTATCCAATATGTCATTTCAGTGGCATGGTTTAAATCGATACCATGAAAAATGATGTTAGCTTCAAACTACTGCTTTTCCCACTCCTTCCCTTATGGAACATGCAAGCCCTTCACTGCCACCCTTGACCTTGGTGTCACCAGGACCCTTTCTGCATCGGCTGTGGTGTGCTGGCCTGTGTCACCCACCCTACAGGCTGAAGAGAGTCGGTCTGGAGGCTAGGGGCAGCCACGCGGACTCCTTGGAGGCCTTGCCGGGCAAGCAGGCTGAGGGCTGACCCAGGGAAAGCCACACCTCCCTCTGAAGCCATGAGCTGCTCACACCCAGCACTCCGGGCCTTGAGGAAGCTTGGTCTGTGCTGGCTGCTCCTGATCCCAGCAGGTGAGTGGGGGTGACACCGGGACTTCACTCCCCAACTGTGAGCTCACTCGCCCTGGGGAAGGTTCTCCTGCAGGGGAACCCACTGCAGCTGTCAAAGCTGCAGCGGACGTAAGAGGTCACCGGCGAGGCCGCTGGGGTGCAGGGAGAAGGTGGAGGGGCAGTCATGGCTGGGTGTCCCCGAGCTTCTGAGTTCCTCATCTGCAAGATGCAAACCAGACTGTGGGCCTCCCAGGGCTACTGGGAAGATTCAACAAGAGTTTGTGACCGGCACCTGGGCTACCGCGGGCACTCAGGACGCACACGGTGGCTCTTGTTGTAGTCCCACTTTCTATCCCAGAGGGTGTGGATGTGTTTTTCTGGATCTGAAAGCAGGAATTCTCAACTCGCTCGGTGGCTGAGCCCTGAAGTGATGAGCCCGTTTGCGAAGCATGGTCAAAACTGACATGTGCAATCCCACCAGACGATTTTGCAGGGCTTCCCTAGTTGCTAAGAGCTTGTCCATGCTGGCGGTTCAGGAAAAATGCAGGGGCCAGCACTGCCCCTGCTTCCCCTCTGCCATCATTGTTCCCCTCTTTCTTGTCTAATATCTAATTTCTTGAGCTGACTTCTGTGTTGTGTGCCCTGAGCTCTGATAAAAATGATCATGTTGACCCCTTAACAGCGTTCTGAGATAGGAGCTGAAGTAGCATCCCCATTTGCCAGATCTGCAGACTGAGGCTCAATGGAGTTGAGTGGCTCTGATGGAATGGGAGGTGGAGAGGAAGCTGAGTACCCACCTCAGGACTCCTGGAGACGCCCTCTCTCTCTCTCTCTCCCTGTCCCACAGCACTGGCACAGCAAGGCTCCCACACCCATGCTGAGGACCGCCTCTTCAAACATCTCTTTGGGGGCTACAATCGCTGGGCGCGGCCTGTGCCCAACACGTCGGATGTGGTGATCGTGCGCTTCGGGCTGTCCATCGCTCAGCTCATCGACGTGGTGTGCCTGTCCTCACCTCCCTCGGGCTCAGCCCCTGGCAGGATCCCCCCCCCACCCCCGTGCCACCATCTGCAGCCCAGTCACAGCATGGTCCCCGGGGTGGCTTGGGGCGGCTGCCCCCAGCTCCTTCCACCATCTCAGCCCTGGAGCTGCCTCCTCGCCGCACAAGCCTGGGTTTCTAGACACGAGTTGAGAGGCCCCACCTGGCCCGTGTGACCTGGAAGAGTCCTGGAAAGGCAGCAGTGGGGTGGGGGCTGGGCTCAGGGTGTCAGGGAAGAGGTTCTTCCAGTGCACGGGGACCTAGACCAGCTCCTTCTCCCTCCCCCCCATCTTCTGCACTGGTTCTGCCACCCTCACTGCTCCTACCCTCTCTCCACTCCTGGCCAGGATGAGAAGAACCAAATGATGACCACCAACGTCTGGCTAAAGCAGGTGAGGGCCCCTCTCCTGGCTGAGGAGGGCGTGGGGCAGGAATCCACTGAACTCAAACCCCGGGGCTCTTACCAACATGGGCCAGGGCGCAGCAAGATTCTGGATCCGCAGGCTACCAAGGAGTAGCAGGAGCCGGCCAGTTGGAGACTATTTTTGGCAGGTGCAGCGCTCATGGGCTGGCCCAAATCTGGGGTCTGAGATTGTCCCTTATAAGGGGCAAAAAACCCTTTTCCTGATAGTAGGCATTTCACTGGCCCTGCCTCCAAGGAGGTGTCGCCCAAGTCCCACATGAGATGTTGGATGCTTGTTTTCCAGCTGATGAGAGCCAGAGGCAGAGTGCAGCCAGGCTGGATGAGGGGGAGCCCAGGAGTGCCCAGCTCGGAACCCCAGGAGCCTTCTGGGAGAACCATGAGTGTTCAGTGGCCATGCTGCCTAGGAAACTACCCCAAAGCTTGCCTGCTAAAACCAGCAGCCAGCCTGCCGAGTCCCATGGTCTTGATAACCGGGAGCTGGTGTGGTTTCTCCTGGTTTGTGTGGTGCCTACTGCATACTTGGTGGTGCTTGGTCGGTGGCTGGTCTAGGAGAGCATTACTCACCCACCCATCTATCCTTGGCAGGGATGTTTGGAAGGTTCGGGAAGGTTCTGGAAGGCTGGACCCACCTGGGCCCCTCCCCCAGGCCCGCCCAGGGTTTCTCTGCTTGGTCTCTCCATAGTGGGGGGAGGGGGTAGACTCCTCACTTGGTGGCTCAGGGATCCTATAGGGGAGGGTCCAGAGAGGCAGGAAGAGAAAGCCACTGGTCTGTTACGGCCCAGAAAGTGTCTGTGCTACCCCGTTCTGTGGGTCCCAGGGCCCAGCTGGCCTCAGGGGGGGCGGGTGGGGGGTGGGCCTTGATTCCACTTCTTGCTGGGAAGAGAGCCAGAGAGTGTGGCTGGCTCGGAAGCGCCACTGGCAGGGCTGGACTCAGGGACTCAGGGACAGAGGGAGACCGGCCTAGATAGATGAAGTGGCTGCTTGCTTGGGCTTCCTGCGCTGGGTGCGGAGGGGAGGAAAGAACGCGGGCCGTGATACCCGGCAAGCCTCTCACACTCTCCTCGTCTGTAAAGTGGGGGTAACGTAGCCGCATTTGCTTGGGAAAATTGATTAACATACCCCATTTTGAAATAATAATCCACCCCAAGTTGGCATACGCATCAATCAACCAAAATGTTGGTTGAACCTGAAAACTTGACTGATGGGCTGGAGAGAGAAGGATAAATTGATTTGGAGGAGAAAACCAGATTCACTGCATTGGTGAACGCAGAGATGGGACCCCTGGGTGGCTTGCAGGCCACGGGAAGTTACCCAGAACCACTGCGCTCCCCGGGGAGGCTGCTTCCCACCCGCCTGGCCTCAGCTCTCTCATGGGTCAACTGGGGAACTTGACACCTGCCCTGCAGCCCCTGCGCGCGCGCGGCTCCCCCACCGAGGGTCTGGGAGCTTGGCCCAGCTTGGGGCGTCCTCTGCCCCTGGGTTGACCCAGCGCCCTCCCGGTCCCAGGAGTGGAGCGACTACAAGCTGCGCTGGAACCCCGCCGACTTCGGCAACATCACCTCCCTCCGCGTCCCCTCGGAGATGATCTGGATCCCGGACCTTGTCCTCTACAACAAGTAGGAAGCCGCGGGGGGCCCGGGGAGGGGCGGGGCACAGGGCGCCTCCTGGTGTCTTCACCTGCTGCCTCTGTCCACTCGATTGCTAAGCCTTTCTCCCCCTCCCCCTTTCTCTTGGTTCCTCCTCCATTTCGATCCTTTCCTTCTCTCACTCATAACGCCAACTTCCTGAGCCCCAGCTGTGTATAGTGCCCACACTGTGCTGGCGGGACAAAGATTTGCCAACACCGAGTGCTCTTGGCAAACTGTGGTACAGCCTCTGCCTAAAGGCAGGAGTTTGGCAGATGGTGGTGGTGTTGCAACAGGTTAGTGGCATCCTTGGTGCGGGTGGAAGGGGTTTTTTTTTTTTTTTTCCATGCTTGTTAATGTGTTTTCATCTACCACTTACAAGGCAAAACAATGGCGGACTCGGGGTAGGGGGTGGTGAGGCTTGTTACCATGTCTTTTTTTTTTTTTTTTTTTTTTTTTTTTGACAGGCAGAGTGGACAGTGAGAGAGAGAGACAGAGAGAAAGGTCTTCCTTTGCCGTTGGTTCACCCTCCAATGGCCACCGTGGCCGGCGCACTGCTCTGATCCAAAGCCAGGAGCCAGGTGCTTTTCCTGGTCTCCCATGGGGTGCAGGGCCCAAGCACTTGGGCCATCCTCCACTGCCTTCCAGGGCCACAGCAGAGAGCTGGCCTGGAAGAGGGGCAACCGGGACAGAATCCGGCGCCCCAACCAGGACTAGAACCCGGTGTGCCGGCGCCGCTAGGTGGAGTATTAGCCTAGTGAGCCGCGGCGCCGGCACCATGTCTTCTATCCTCTGGTTCATTCCCCAGATGCCTGCGACAGCCAGGGCTGGGCCAGGCAGCAGCCAGGAGCCCAGAACTCCATTTTCTGCTTGCCTCCTAGATTCATTAGCAGGAACCTGGGTCGGAAGCAGAGCAGCCAGGAGTTGAACTGGCACGTCTCCTATGAGATACGGGCATTCCGAGTCCTGGCCTAAGCCTGCCGAGCACAGTGCCTTTCCTGTTTTATTTTTTAATTGTCTCGTATTCAAGGCCAAAAAGACCCGTCATTGAGCATAAAGACTAGAAGCTCATAGGGGCCGGCGTTTTGGTGCAGGGAGTTAAGCTGCAACGCCAGCATCCAACATGAGTGCTGGTTCAAGTCCCGACTGCTCCACTACCAATCCAGGTCCCTGTTAATGGGTCTGAGAAGGCAGCAGAAGATGGCCCAAGTGCTTGGTCCCCTGCCACCCACGTGGGAGACCAGGATGGAGTTCCTGGCTACTGGCCTGGCCCAGCTACGGTCCTTGTTGCTGCTCTCTGGGGTGTGAACCAGCTGATGGAGGTCTCTCTCTCTCTCTCTCTCTCTCTCTCTCTCTCTCTCTCTCCTTCTCTCCCTGCACCTCTGCCTTTCAAATAAACAAATAAGTGTTTTTAAAAAAAGTCCAGAAGTTCATAGGAGGCAGGGACGAATCTAAAGAGAGCCCTGGAGAACTAAAACAAACGAATAAGTATCTTTTTAATAGAAGAAATGAAAAACAATTTGCTTTCATTTGTGTGTTTGATATCAGGTAATGCTTCATTTAGAAGTCAAGACGCTAAGATGAAAAGATTTGGTGTTCTGTTCATCTAAAACTGTTTTCTAAAGTGGGGCAGTAATGGGCACCACGTCCTTGGGCTGTGAGTAGATATGAAGAAGAGTGTGGTCAAATAATTTTGGGCCACATTATGTGTCTTAAAGCAGCCCCGCACCCCCTTGGTCCTGCAATGGCAGGGCAGGGTAATACCCTGGCTGTCGTCACATGTTCCCTGCAAACAAACCCATGTAGCCCAGCGTTTCCCAATGCCTTTGATCCTACTTCAGAAATGCTATTTTTAAACAATAAATAAAGAGCAAAAAGGAAAGCAACAATGATTTCTTACACACTGTCCAGCAGCCCTGGGCAGGCCCCAGACCTTTTCACCTAAGCCCCGCGCCGGTCTGGCTCTGCAGGCACGAGTGCCGCAGCAGGAGTCACCCGCCCGCTCTGCTCTGCGAGTAGCCATAGCCGGCAGCCAGGAGCCTTCCTGTCTGCTTGCTGTGTGATCCAGCAGAGGTCCGGAGCGAGGCCCTAATGTCAGGCTGGCCGTGGAGTTTTGGGCTCAGTAAGGCTCTGGCCGGTGTGGCTGATTGTCATCAGATTTACCCTCGGACAAGACAAAAGCCTAAACCAGACTCCTGCAAGCATTCAGCGGGTGCCCACGACCCAAGTTTACAGCTGCAGGCCATAAGGAAAAGGCCATTGCTTTCCCCAAGACGGGTGCATGTTGCCATCTAGTGGTGATTGAGTGTGATGACCAAAATGGCTTGTTTGATGCGTTTCCAGGTTTCTGTATTGCAACCCTAGCACTATTTCTTGGAGAAAAAAAAAATCCTTAATTCTTCTGATATTCTGGGCTTTAGGGATTGGAGGTGGAAGGGTGGTACATTGAAGACCAGGGCGCGGAGCCCACTGTGCCACCTCCTGGGGTGTTCGGGATTCAGCCCTGCCTTCCTTGGCAACACGGTTCTAGGGGTCCTTGTGGGTCTCTGGATGCCTCATTCCACAGTGTGCCCCCTCTCCTCCAGGCCCCACTCACTCCTCATGCCCACTGCACCAGCCCCAGTGCACCCTGTGGGATTTGTCCTTGTCCCCCAAGGGACCCTCTGCTGGTTTGCACTTCACCTGTGTCTCAGCCAGACCCCACCAGCCAAGCCTTGTTCAAATGGCAGCCTTCACAATGACCGTGCTCAGCCCAGCACGAGGGCATGGGAACACTCAGACTCTCCTCCTAACCTCTCTTGCATCTCATATTCCTCTTCCCGTGTGGCCTGGGTGGCAGCTCTAACAACTGACACATGTTAAATGCATGGATTAAAGGAAGTAGCTCCAACCACAGACATTAGGTCTCTTCTGAGCAAGGAACCAAAAGACCCACATGGAAAAAACGTGATCCCCACCTGAGGGGCCGGCTCACCTTGGCTAGGAAGAGGAATGTTCTCATCAGTGATCACTTTAAATGGCCACTGAAGAAACAGGCAGGCTGCACCTATCTAGCCCCGCGATTCCAAATATCATAAGTAACATAAATTCATCATAAGTAATATACATTATATACTGTTACAAATACATGTACCGTCTGTATGCCAACCAAAATCTATAAAATATCACAACATTAGTAGCGGCTTTAAAAAATTCTTGGTACTTTAATTCCACCTTCGGAATTAAAATGACAGGATTTGAAAAGATAACTGGGGTGGCTAGAAAATCCGTGTGCTGGGAAACACATCTGCATACAACCCACAACTTGGCTGGGCCTGGCTGTGCCACTGGGGTTCCTCTGCTGCCAGCTCTCTGTACCAGCTCGGCGGGGGGCCAGCGGGTGTGCAGGGTCCCCCTCCCCAGCCCCTCTCCTCGCTCCCCAGTGCAGATGGCGAGTTTGCAGTGACGCACATGACCAAGGCCCACCTCCTCTTCACGGGCACCGTGCACTGGGTGCCCCCGGCCATCTACAAGAGCTCCTGCAGCATCGACGTCACCTTCTTCCCCTTCGACCAGCAAAACTGCAAGATGAAGTTCGGCTCCTGGACCTACGACAAGGCCAAGATTGACCTGGAGCAGATGGAGCAGAAGGTGGACCTCAAGGACTACTGGGAGAGCGGCGAGTGGGCCATCGTGAACGCCACCAGCACGTACCACAGCAAGAAGTACGACTGCTGCGCTGAGATCTACCCCGACGTCACCTTCTACTTCGTCATCCGCCGGCTGCCCCTCTTCTACACCATCAACCTCATCATCCCCTGCCTGCTCATCTCCTGCCTCACCGTGCTGGTCTTCTACCTGCCGTCCGACTGCGGAGAGAAGATCACGCTCTGCATCTCCGTGCTGCTCTCGCTCACCGTCTTCCTGCTGCTCATCACCGAGATCATCCCGTCCACCTCGCTGGTCATCCCGCTCATCGGCGAGTACCTGCTCTTCACCATGATCTTCGTCACCCTCTCCATCGTCATCACCGTCTTCGTCCTCAATGTGCACCACCGCTCCCCCAGCACCCACAGCATGCCCCGCTGGGTGCGGGGGATCCTTCTGGGCTGTGTGCCCCGCTGGCTGCTGATGAGCCGGCCCCTGCCACCTGCAGAGCCCCACAGACCTCTAGGCCTAAAGCTCAGCCCCTCTTATCACTGGCTGGAGACCAACGTGGACGCTGAGGAGAAGGAGGAGGAGGCAGAGGTGGAGGAGGGCCGGTGGGCGTGTGCTGGCCGTCCAGCCCCGACACCGGGAGCCCTATATGGCTGCGGGGGCTTGCACCCCAGCGCCTCGGGGCCCAAGGCCCAGCCTCTGCCCCAGGAGAGTGAGCTCCTGCTGTCCCCTCGCATGCAGAAGGCCCTGGAAGGCGTGCACTATATTGCTGATCACCTGCGCTCTGAGGATGCCGACTCTTCGGTGCGTTGGGACTGGGTCGGGGGCTCCTGCTGGGTGACTCTGCCAGCTTAGCAGAGCCCCATCTCAGCTTGGGGTGCTTGCTTGGGCCACCCTGGCCTCCTCCCTTGAGGACCTATCTCCCTTAGCCATGGCCCCTAGGAGTGTGGAATGGACGATGAGAGAGAAGGTCTAGGTGGCCATGCTTAGGACATTGATGGGCAGGTGGCAGAATCCCCTGAGGGTCAAGAAGGCCTCTCAGCCTAATGGGAGGACAGTGAGCCGGACAGGCAGTGAACCTGGCTGTGCCATTTCTGCCTGTTAGCTGATGGCGAGGGAGGGGACTGGAGGACGCCGAGAAGGTATTCCTTCCTCCCAGTGCGTCCATCAGTGTGCCCGTGTAGTCCTGCATGGCCTCTCCCGTCTTTCCCTTGCTCCTGGGCACTGTGCACTATTCACCCACAAACTCCAAAGGCCCTTGGCTGTGCCAGGTGGGCTCCGGTCTCCAACCTCTGCCGAATCCAGGGCTGAGCATCAGAATTCATCCTCTCAACCTCGCCCAGGAAGCAAGGCCAGGCGGTTACTACGTGCGGCCTTGTTAGATAAGAACGTTGGTCACTGTTGAACTTGGGAGCCGCTGGGAATCCAGACGCTGTGCCACCTCTGCCGAGGCTCTGAGCCTGAATTCCACAGGATCCCCCACCCTTCTGCCCTGCCCGCCCTGACCTCGTCTACCTCTCCTGCAGGCGGAGGGGCGAGGCCTGGGGGGGAGGGGGTACAGTGAGTCTTCACCATTTTGTAACAGTTGGGTGTTGCATTGAAGTCACTGTAACTCCCCACCCCCACCCCCACCCCAGAGCCCCTGCCCCTGGGTGGTTCTCCAGGGTCTGTGTGCCCCCAGCCTCCTTCAGTTGAGAGCTGATAGAAAGGCGGTATCTAGCACAGGGACCACAGGGGAGGGGTGCCCGGGCCTCGAGGTAACTCTGCTTCTCCTCTCTGCCCCATCCTTCTGCATACACGGACCTTAGCGTCCCAAGGTCTCAGCGGAGCAGTGGCCGCTGTCCCCGTTGTCCATCTGTCTAGGGGCTGTGCATGGGCAGGACAGCTCCCCTTCCCAAGGCCTGGCCTCGGTCGCTATGCACCCCTTTCCACCCGCAGGTGAAGGAAGACTGGAAGTATGTCGCCATGGTCATCGACAGGATATTCCTCTGGCTGTTTATTATCGTCTGCTTCCTGGGCACCGTTGGACTTTTTCTTCCCCCGTTCCTGGCTGGCATGATCTGACTCCACGTCCCTGGCGTTGGCTGCCAGGTGGCTCTGTCCAGCAGCTCCTGGCTGTCTTTCCCTCTCTTTGGGGTCAACACCATGTGGCTGCAGGTGCTTCTCTGTGGAGCCCTCACCTGGCCTCATCATGGAAGACTTCTTGGAATGCTCGACCTTGACATTTCCGTACTGACACGGAGAGCCTGCTGGGCACCAAGCTCTGCCTTTGGGTGCTGAGAGCCAGCACAGATGAAGGCACTGGCCCTGCAGGCAGTGATGATCTGGCAGTGCCAAGGTGTGCCAGAGTCAGAGACCCTGGAGGATCAATAAAGACGGAAGGCCCAGTGTACGGGTTGGGACCCAAGGGGGACGGAATTTCAGACCTCAGCAGAGGGGTGCGTGTGGCAGGGGGAGGGTGCCCTGGGGGTAGAAGGGCTACCAGCAAGGTTTTGGATTCAGGAATGAGAACCAGCAGGGCTGAGGTGGGGCTTTCCTGTGCAAAGCAGTGGGAGGAGGCTGGCAGGGCAGCTTGGGCTGTCTTTAAGCCAGCCTCAGAAAGAAGTGAGGGTCTGAGACTGTGGGGTTTGGAGCTGTGTTGGCCAAAGGCGGGGCGATGGGGCTCTTCAGAGAGGTGGGGGAGGAGGAAGCAGGCTACGCAGTGGGATCCAGGGCAGGTCCTCTAGGCGGAGGGGGCAGGTGGTGAGGCCAGTCCTCCCGCCTGGAAGCACTCGCAAGCTTCTAGGCTTCCCCTCAGCTTTCTGCCTCCCCCTTCCTTGCTGTAGAATGGCTCAGCACTGGGGAGCCCCAAGAGGTTTGGCAGAGCTGAGAGCCACCGCCTGCAGGGGCCCCACCTGTCCCTGAACACCAGTGGACCATCTCAGATTCGCAGCTTGTTTGGCCTGGCCTCACTCCCTCCTGGGGGGAGGGGCATCAGCCCGCCTCACCTGAGACTTCAGGATCTTTGGGGGCCCCTTCCATGCCGAACTCAAGTGCAGGGCCTTAGTTCCTGCCCGCAGCACCTGGCACAGCACCCGTGCATGGCGTCAGCCCTCCAGATACTTGTTCTGAGTGGCTGAGGGGAGCAAGCTGGATTGCTTGTTTGGCCCCCAGCACCCCTCTGCCCAGCCTGCCCTGACCTCGCCTACCTCTCCTGCAGGCGGAGGGGCGAGGCCTGGGGGAGAGGGGGCAGCGAGTCTTCACCATTTTGTAACAGTTGGGTGTTGCATTGAAGTCACTGTAGCTCCCCACCCCCACCCCCACCCCAGAGCCCCTGCCCCTGGGTGGTTCTCCAGGGTCTGTGTGCCCCCAGCCTCCTTCAGTTGAGAGCTGATAGAAAGGCGGTATCTAGCACAGGGACCACAGGGGAGGGGTGCCCGGGCCTCGAGGTAAATCCCAAAGCTGCAAATCTCAAAGCTGCAGGCCCTGCCCTCCCTCCCCTCCCCGGAGCCCTCAGCTCTCCCGTTCTTGCACCTGGGAATGAGACACTCCGGGGACCTCGGCTGTTGGACCCAGGGATCGGGCCTCTCCGGAGTCCTGCCATGCCCCCAGCCAGGACCTCAGCACCTGACAGCTGTGGGCCCTGGGCTCCCCAGACAGTGCTCCCAGCAGGGCGAGCTTCTGGTTTCTGTACCCTCCTTCCAAATCCCCACCCCTCTCCCTGACAGACACCCCGGGAAAGCTGCCTGCCCACTCTGCCTCTGGATCCTCCCTGCTCCCTCCTCTGGGCCCTCTCTCTGGTCCAAGCCCCGAGATTTCAGGTCTGCTCATAGTATTCACATCTCCTGTCCATCTGGCATGTGAATAAAGGTTTTGAAATCCGATTTTAAAAGCCAGATTCTCTGGTTTGTAACTGTGTGTCTCTGCAGAGCCAGCCACACCTGTTTCATGAGCACCAGCCAGCCCCCTGCGGAGGCCAGGGGGCTTTGGGACCTGCAGGGAGGTGTGACACGGCCACAGACGGGACTGCTTGGGGTCAGGGGCCTCTCGATGCCCACCCAGCACAAAGGTGCCCAGGCACACCTGCCACACTGCCTGGCGTCACCACGTGCCCTGCTTTGGTTGGGCCCCAGCATCGGTCAGCTCTTGGCCCTGCACCTCCTTGAACACGACAGATTTCTTCCAAGGCTGTGGCTCAAGGTCAACATCCTTCCCCAAGGGGTAGGTCCAAGACACAAAACAAACCACAAAGCAAATGGTACAATTTTAATTCAGCCACAAGTCAGATAGAAAGAAGATAAAAGAGTGTTCTACACAAACACGTGGTGGGGTGGGGGGAGTAAGAAAAGGGGCGGGAGGATGGGAAAAGGAGAGGGGGAAGAGGAAGGGGCGGCAGGAAGAGAACAGATTGCGGCCCCAAGTCCTATTTTGGTCTCCATCTCTCATTTCTTCCCTGACACTGGGTTTGCTGACAGCATGGCATCCTGAGCCCAGATTCCCAATTAGCTTGCTCCTGGACTCTGTCTCAGGTCCTCCCCCAGGAGGGCACACGGCTGTCAGTTTGGGCCAAACTCACATTAAATAAATTCCAATATACACTGTACAAAAAAGCCAGGCCCATCCCCGATCTGGCCGTGACTCCACCTCCAAAATGAAGCCCCTCCCGACCCCTCTGAGCACCAGGGGGCCTCAGAGGGCTGGAGAGGAAGGAGAAAGAAGAGCTGGCTTCTAGTGGGCCTGCCGTGTCCATGCAGTACGCCATCTTGGCTGCAGGGGGCACCATGTGACCCCCTATGAGGCTCCAGCCCTTAAGCTAGGGTAAGGAGGGAGTGGCTGGGGACAGCCACGGCCCCTCTGAGACTTCTGTGTCACCCCTACCCTGTGTCCATTCCCAAAGTCCCCTCTGGCCAGCTGCAGCCCGAGCAGCGGTGTGTGGGGTGGGGAAGGGAGGTCGTGCAAATGGCAAGGGAAGGACTCCCCTTGGCCTTCCTCCGAGAAGACCCACGTGACCAAAGGCAAGGCAGGGAGGTACACAACAGGTGGGGGGCAGAGGGCGTAGGCAGGTGGCCGCACTCTCAGTCACTTGCAGGCGGATGGGCTAGGTTGGCCAGAACCTTGGCCTGGTCCACGGCATCGAGCAGGTTCTTGGCGTCCACGGCCAAGGTGTGGGAAGCCGTGAGCATCTGGCGCTTGCACTCCTCACTCAGGGAGGTCACGGCGTTCTGCTGGGCCAGCCGCATCTTGTTGATGAGCTCCGCCAGGTCTTTGTTGAGCAGCTTCTGGGTCCCTTCGATCTGCAGGAAGAGCACACGGGACAGGCTGGGGACCCGTAGGGCTGCCCCATATGTCCCCAGAGGTGGTAGCCACACAGGCTTCTGCCTCCAGCCTTGGTCACAGCAGCCCGGAGGTCCCTGCTTGGATACGCTATGCAAAGCCATTTCCTGGGGCCTCAGAGAAGAGGCTGGGCAGGTGGGCCTTAGGAGCCTCCAGTGGGGAGGACAACCAGGGCCTGGTGGAGGTGAAGGGGACAGCCAACAGCTCTGTCTGGGACAGGACACTCACCTCTGTCCGCGAGGATGACGGCAAGGAGGGCAGGAGGTCGTCCACACTCCCGATGAGCTTCCGCAGGGTCAGTCCCACGTTCTGGGGGAGGAAGCGGCAGTGACGTCACTCCTCGCATTGTGGGAAAGCCACGTTTCCCTTGTGGAGAGCACTCCGGGACGGTGCTTGCCCTGTGTGGCTGCCTGGGGCTGAACTCCCTTCGGCCACCTTGGCTACTGGGCTCTATTGGGCCAGTGGCAAGGAGGTGCAGGCACCCCCTTGGGGTGGGATGAGCTGCCCCCGCCCCCACCCTGGCTCTCACCTTCACCACCACCACGTAGCCCTCGGGGGGCAGCTGGCACAGCTCGTTCTTGAGGTCCAGCACGGCCCGAACCAGCTCCATGACATTGAGGTACACCAAGTCATCAGTCCGGTCCAGGTTGGCTGTGGGCTGGATGGACTGAAGAGAAGCGGACAGCCGTGCGGGGTGGGCGCACGAGTCAGAGCAATGCTACCATCCAAGGCAGCCACAGCCCGGTTGGAAAGGACTGTGCTCTGGAGTGAGTGCCCAGTCCTGGGACGAAACCTGTACCCACTCCAGGCTACTGCAGGGGCAGTGGGGGTGCTGGAAGCTATGGGTAGGGGGTTCCAGGGAGGAAGGGGCCCACACCTCCAGGACCCAGGGCTGGATTGGGGGTGGGCCAGAACACAGGAGACTGGTTCTTCCCGAATTGGCTGTGTGGCCTTAGGCAAGGCACCCTCCCTCTCTGGGCCACATGCATAGCGTGAGGATGCTGGATGGGGCATCTCTGAAGGTTTCCCAGTGCACAGGCTGTAGTCTCCTGGAAGCTTGACTCCAGTTTGTTGCCAGCTTTGGAAGAACCAACACCTACCTGCGCACCCAGCCGCGGGGGCTTCTGTGGGGGCGCTGTGAACTCCGCTGCAAGGGAAGGGGCAGTTCTCAGTCCCCCCGCCCTCCCCAGCCAGCCCCTCACTTCTGCTACCAGGAGACCCCAGGGAAATGACTCTCAAACTCCAGGAAGACACAGGGAAGACAACCTTGCAGCTTCCCTGGCTTGCCCACAGTCGGGGACAAGCACTTTCTATCACATGGACAGAGATGGTGTAATCATGGGATGAGTGTCAGCTCGGGCCCGCGCTTCCTCCCCGGGTGGACGCCGGGTTCTGAGAAACAGCAATGCTCTGTGTGGGAGAAACCTCGCTCTCTGAAGGCTGCAGGCATCTGTGAGACCCCAGGGCCAGTGCGGGCACATCTCCTGGCCCAGAGTGGGGGGGTTCTGAGCACTCCTGAGGTTTCCCTTAGTGGGCGGGGCTCGAGGAAGTGAAAGAGCAGCAGAACCCTGATATTCGTTCCGTGTGATCCGCGTGGACACACGCGCCCTGAGGAGCTGCTAGAAGTGGGAGCCCGCAGGGGAAGGCCCACCCGCACTGCTGCCACCAGAGAGCTTGGCCTCCCGGCAGGCAGCTCCTATACACTCCCTGGGCCTTAGTTTTCACGTCATCTTATTTCTGTAAACAAGACAGCTAACTCAGAAGAGTCTCTGGGGCCAGCATGCCTGGGCTCACACCAGAGCTCTGCTGGTTATCAGGTGTGTGACCTTGGCCAAGCCACTCAACCATCCTGTGCCTCAGTTTCACCCTTTGGACAATGGAGACACAGGCTGAGTGGTGTTATCCAGAATGCTTGGGACCAGAAGTGTTCCAGATTTCAATTTTGGTGGGGAGTGGGTATTGGAATATTTGCATCTACATAATAAGATCTCTCCAGGAGAGGACCCAAGTCTAAACACAAAATTCACTTGTTTCCTGTATATTTTATACACAGGGCTTGAATATAATTTCATAAAATGTTAATAATTTTGTGCAGGAAACAAAGTTGCACGGTGTGGAATTTTCCATCTGTGCTGGCATGATGGTGCTCAAAAGGTTTCCGATTTTGGACTTCAGATTTTCAGATGAGGGATACTCCACCTGTAATAGCAAGTGGCACCTGTCTCCTGGAGTGGCTGTGAGATCAATTGGGTTAACGTTTAGGTGACTCAGGTCTGTATGTGGCTCTGCCCTCAGCAGAGGCTCCTGGGGAGACCCAGGGGATCAGCGGCCTCTCTTCCTTCCCTGGGCCTAGGGGAGATGAAGGTGAATGGGAGAGGTGGGTGGGGCTACTTCATTCTCCACAAGAAGCCTCCAACAGAGCACATGGAAACGCCCAGGAAGGGAGAATGCTCAGCTCCTCCAATCAGATGCAGGAGGAGCTGAGCTGAGGGTGTGGGCAGCGGAGATAGGGATGAGAAAGGACACTGTGCGGGGAGAGAGCCACTGGGCTGGGAGGAGTGGTGAGGGGAGGGGCCCACACAAGGCTGACCCCCTCTGCACACTGCAAGGAAAACAAGGCTGACTTTTCTTAAGGCTGCAGGCACACTGTGTGGCTTCACACCGGGCAGGGAGTAAGGACCATGGCCCCACCCAGTGTCAGGCACAAACTTCCCCCACAGGAAGGGCAGAAGCACTTACTGTAACCGGCCTCCTTCTCTGGGGTCTGGAAGGAAGGGAGAAGAGAGAAGATCACGCAGGTGGCTCTGGGGAGAACCCGCTTCCTCCCCTTACCTCCTCTCCCACCCCTCCACTGGTTGTAGTCACTGGGAGAGGGGAGCTGGGTGCTCCTGAGAGGCCAAGGCAAGGCTATGGGTGTGGATCTCAGGAGGGTTCAGGAAAAGAGCCATGTGGAGATCAGAGTAAAAGGACAGATCTGCTCCCAAGATGGGAAGCAGCCCAGGAAGAGACAGGCAGGCCCAGGGGGCTGAGGAGGGAACGAGGGGGCACTGGTGCTGCAGGGAATAGACCTTCCCTGGTGACTTACCAGTGGGGACTTATCGTTCATGTAGACCATGGGGTCCTGCAGAGGAGGAAACCAAAGCAAAGAGCTGAGGATTCTGGAACCGGAAGTACCCAGAATGCATGGAGAGCACTGGCTCTGGTGGGGGGGCGTGGGTGCAGCACAGGACACACATGGACACATGGTGTGTGTCCAATCCCTTAGAATGTAAAGGCAGGACGCAGCCTCTCATCTGTCTCCCTTAGCCCAAGGTGCCCTGGCCTCACCTTTATCCAAAAGGAATTCCCTGAACTGAGGGAGTGACACAGCTGTCATGGGAAGGCTCTAGTCAGCGGTCTCTAGAAGTCCTTGCTTCTCAAATGGGTAAACTCTGTTGGCCAGTATTGTTGGGAGGCGTCTGTGTGCAGGAATTCTAGGTCCAGGCAGGGAATTCCCAGGTCTGGGGCTGAAGGTAACTGCCTCCTGCATGTGACCTCAAACCCTCCAGAG